CGGAGACTTAATCGGCTGCAGGCGTTTGTCTGTATCCCTTCCTGCCGAGGCCGAACCCCTCGAGCTTGGGAAACGACTTCTGTATCGTTTAAAACACAGCAGAGTAATGGACCCCCTCGTCAACATGACCTCGCTCAAGTCCCCCTGCTCCGGCGCCGCCGTCCACGACGACGAAGACATCGCCGTGGCTACCACCTCCGGAGCTCAGCCCGAAGGCACCGAACTCGCCCGCAGACGACGACACTCCTTCTTCATCCCTAGACGCAAGTCAATCGTCAGCCACATCATGGACGGAGAGGAGCATTTGCTATTGAAGGTGAGTTTTGAGGCGGTGGTTGTAGTTGCGGTTGCATGGGTGTTTTGTTTTGTTTGGTTACACCTCCCCCACTACACCCGAGCATCGGACCAAGAGAAAAATGACTGACATGTACTTCGTTACACCAACAACAGGTCGACCTCTTCCTCACCGAACTCGAGCGCCGCCTCGAATTCATTGAGGAATACGGCGAGCTCACCTTTGACACCAGCATATCCCGCGCCTTCTCCACCCTCCAGACCGTCCGCGCACGATGCTCCCACGCCTCGGAGGAAGTCCTCGGCGCAGGCCGCAGGCGCCTGCACATCATGGTCGAGACGTTGGAAGCCCGCTACCAGGACGCCCTCGCCTCCGCCGAGTCCCTAAACGAAAAGGCCCGCGTCGGCATCGAGCTGCTCGACGACATGCTCACCGAGTACGAGAGCCGCGCTTACAAGCTTCGCGAGCAGAGCCTGGCCAGCGCTACGAGCGCCGCCGGAGCCTTCATGTCCGAGGGACGCAGGGTCGTCGACGGCGGTATCGAGCTCGCCCGCGAGGTCGTGGACGAGAGTATCGGGCGGGCCAAGCGTGCGGCGGAGAGCCTCGAGGAGACGATTGAGCGCGCCATTGAACGCGCGAGGACGACAAAACTGATCACCTACGACGACCTGCCCATGCCGTGGCGCATCAACCCGCACATCCGCAACGGCTACCGCTTTACCGAGTCCAAGCTGGAGTGCATCTGGTCCGCCTTTGGCGTCTCGAACGAGCTCGTCAACATCTGGTCTCACGCCATCGGCCTGTTCATCGTCCTGGCCGTCGCTCTCTACTTCTACCCCCGCAACGTCAACTTCTCCCTCAGCACCAAGACCGACATCTTCATCGCCGCCGTCTTCTTCTTCACCGCGTGCCTGACGCTGGTCTGCTCGACCATCTGGCACACCATGAACGCCGTCGCGGACGTCGACGCAATCTCCATCTTTGCGTGTGTCGACTACACCGGCATCTCCCTGCTGATCGCCGCATCCATCGTGACCACCGAATACACCGCCTTCTACTGCGACCCCGTCAGCCGCTGGACGTACATGTCGACCACCGCCTTCCTCGGCATCGGCGGCGTCATCCTCCCCTGGCACCCCACCTTCAACGGAGCAGACATGGCGTGGGCCCGCGTCGCCTTCTTCGTCGGCCTCGGCGCCACCGGTTTCCTGCCCATCCTGCAGCTGTACTTCTCCCACGGCCCCGACTTTGTGTGGACCTTTTACACGCCCATCGCAAAGTCCATCTTCGTCTACCTCCTGGGCGCCTTCGTGTACGCCAGCAAGATCCCCGAGAGGTGGTGTCCCGGCATGTTCGATTACATCGGCGGCAGCCACAACCTGTGGCATCTGGCCGTTCTCGGCGGCATCCTGTTCCACTACACGGCCATGCAGTCCTTCTTTGCGGATGCTTTCCGCCGCGCCGAGGCAGAGTGCTCCATCTACTGAGTGAGGCACCTGCGTCTTTGGCAACGACGATTTCATGCAGTTGGCGTTGATGGTTCCTGCAGTGAGCTGTCAATGGCCACACTCAGTCCGGCTTCGAGCCAAGGCACTCCACGGCATGCCAGCACAAAAGAGGGCATATAGTCCCTCAGGGTGCGCCTTGATCACGTCGTGGGGAAAGCCACCTAAACTCCAAAAGGCTCGGTAAGGTCGAGCCTCTAAATTAAACTCCTCCAAGGACACGCTTTATGTCGGTCGACGACCAAATATCCAAATCCAGGGACTATTGAAACTCTGGGCGATGATGAGAAAAGGCTATGACGAGGCATAATGTTCCAACCCAGGCGGCACGCTTCAGGACGCCTGTATTGCTTCGACCTCTTTGCGACTAGCGATTGTAGAAGCGGACCTGATAGAGTAGAGTGCGTTCCGTCAGCATAGAGAGGCGTAGGAGCCACGTTACATGTGAATAGTAATATAAATGGATACCCTATGTGTATGATCCCGAGACCTCAATTGCGTTGTGTATAGATGAGTAGAGACGAGGCCATGTTAGATGCATTTGTAAACTCTGCAATCGAATTGTCAATCTACTCTTTCCGTCTCCGAATGTCTGCCATCCAGATAGATTCGATCAAGCCATCCGTCCCAGCCTTCACGACATGCCTGGCCTGCAATTGGCCTCGCTGGCTCTAGTCACCGAATTCTGATCTCCGACATGATGCCAGACTTTTCCAGTATTGTCCATATGCGAACCCCCCCTTAGAGTCTGAGGCTGGGCTTCGCGTTTCAACGCCGTCTATTGGCCGCAGCTCTAGGAGGACCAGATATACGCGGAGGCAATCGACCATGGCACAAGGATACATCAGAAAGCGTTGCTGTCATGTCGCCAAAGTTGGGCATTCGAGGATGCTGCTTCCGAATCTAGTAGCAAACCGCCGGAACAGCTCCCGGACATCAAAGTCCCAGGGGGGCCTCTTGACGGCAAGCTGCGCAAGAGGAGGACGTCGGGATAGATGGTGTGTCCGATAACGAGACGACAAGGCTTTGGCCGAGACTTTGGGATTCAAACTCCGCCAACTTTTGTAAGGATACTCTCCGCCGGCTGATGGTCTGCACAAGTCCGCACACCATTTTGTTCTCCCCCGAAAAGTCCGCTGGGCATGTCTGCTGGGCGTGTGAAATGCGTCACTCGCAGAGTAGAAAACGTACACCATAAAAGGCACACGCCGACGCAGGTCTCGTCGAAGAGACTCCCAGGCTCGTATTACTCTGATCACATCTACTGTGAAACTGAGTGGACTTGAAACTTTCTCAACATACATCCCCCTGACCACATCCAAAATGGTCGTCGTCGCAGTCGCCGGTGCCACTGGCGGCATCGGCCGTGCTATTGTGGAAGCCATACAACAAGCCGGCACTCACGATGTGATCATCTTCAGCCGAAAGGTTTGACCCCTCAAGTTCTGCCCCAGGAGACATTTCCTTTTCATCTCAACATTCCCCAGGCCAACCTGACCCTTTCCAACGAGCTCAACGTGCCCATCATCGAGGTCGACTACGCGGACGTGGAGGCCACGACAGGGACGTTGGAGAAACACAACGTCCACACGCTGATTTCGGCCTTGACTACCACCCAGTCCCTGAAAGTACAAGACCACATCCCCGAGATCCAGCTCATCCAAGCCGCGGACGCCGCCAAAGCCACGCGACGATTCGTCCCGAGCGACTGGGGCATCCCCTTGGACGAGGGGTAACACACATCCCATCTTACTCCCGCCTCCCGGAGAAAACTCGGAGCTAACCAAAGCACGTCCAGGGACCGGGACGTCCTGTTCAACGCAGGCTTCAAGCTCGACAGCAGGAAGGCGCTCGAGGAGACGACGGACCTCGAGTACACGTCCTTCCACAACGGCTTCTTCCTCGACTACTGGTGCATGCCCGCGGTGAAGTCCCACATGACCCCCTGGACGGTCGTGGTCGACATGGCGAGCAACGCCGCGGTCCTGCCCGGCTCCGGGAACGTGAACGTCACCTTCACCCACACGTCCGACGTCGGGCAGTACGTTGCCGCCTGGCTCGACGTGCGAGAGTGGGAGCCCCGCACCTTTCTCGTCGGCGAGACGGTGACGTGGAACCAGTTCCTTGCCATTGCAGAGGACGTCAAGGGTACGTGACGTTTGCCGCCGTCCTCTCAAAGAGCGAACTGCTTTACTCACGAAGGGTCATCTCATAGGTACAAAGTTCTCTGTAAAGTACGAGGGGGACGAGGTGTACCGCAGCGGGAAGGCGACGATCCTGCCGTCGCAGAAGGTTGGGCTGCACTGGTTCTCCGAGGATACCTTGCAGACGATGCTGTCGTCGTACATGCTTTTGTTTGATCAAGGCAGGTTCGATCTCGGCACGAGGTCGTCGAATGCCCAGTTCCCCGAGATCAAGCCGATGAAGGTTAGGGAGGCGTTGGAGAAGGCTTGGGCGAGGCGTTGAACATGACGAGAGGAGCATGTCTGTCGATATTCGAGCATGTTTCTTGAGGAACGCCGGGAATCAGTAGCCACGAAGGCTTGCACATTGCATAATAGCGTGCCGATCCTGGCTTGGACAGAAGGGTAAGCCTCTGCATATACCAGATCATCCATATTAGTTAATAGTTAAACCCATCTGGTTCGAGAAGATCTCGACATCGATTATGATAGTGGTGAGTAGAGACACTGTCAGTCATACCTCACACAAGGTTGAACCATCTCTCAACAGTACTTTGATATGAGTCAACCACCCCTTCGACCAACCTTTCTGGAATCTCAACCTTGTATCTGCCTCCATCCTTCATTTCCCGACGAAGACTCGTCTTCCTCAACAATCCACCAAGGCGCGATAGCTCAGAGGCAGAGCGTGGCTCCATTAAAGCCAAGGCCCCTGGATCGAAACCGGGTCGCGCGAAAATGCTTCTTTTTTGCACACCTCTTTCGCTCCTCTCCCGTAATATTCTCACTTGATGAAACTTTCAGGTAATAGCACATGGCAAACCCTCGCTCTTCGATGTAGTCAAATTCAAGAGGAAGCTGAAAAGTAGTCTCGCTAATGTGATGTCAACGCCCTTGCAATCTAGCCAATATTGTAGCTGACAGTCATCCGCACCCCTATAATCATGTAAACATATGGCTCATCTCATTCCATCACATGCACTCAGTCTCCCACTTGACCCATTTCGTGTTCGTCAATCACCTGGGGGGGTCAGGCACTGGCGGCGGCGGATACCTGGCCAGCGTCTGCGCATTCGACTCGTCCGAGTCCGTGTCCTCCTCAAAATACGGTTCTCGGTACCCGTTAGGATACAATCTTCTAGGCCCAACTTGATCAGCTGGTATTCTTCGAACAATGGCGGTGGATGCGCCCACATCTTGGTACGTCGGACCCCGTCCCCCGCTCATCTGTATTTCCGGTCTGGACCGCGGCTTGTCTCTGTGGGAGGCGGACCGCCCCGGCGCGCCGCTCCGCTGGACGGTGATGTTCATCCCTTCGGTTCTCCGCCGCGGACGCGGGCGGCCGACCCATTCCGCTTCCGTCTGCGGGTTGTCCGCCGCGTGCCTGTCGAAGGCTCTGCGCTGTTCGACGGGCGACGGGGGCGCAAAGGGGCTGCCCCGCGGCTCCATCGTCTCGGCTCTGTACATTCCGTTAGGCCACATCTGCTGCGAATGCCGTCGGGCGGTCGGGCTCGTTCCGTAGACAGTCGAGGCAGGCCGTTGCGAGAGAGGACTGGGAGCGCCGTAGCTGTTATCCAGCTCGCTCAGGGCAACCTCCACGCCGGCCTGGATGGCTCTCTGCATCTGCTCCGGGTCGAGCCGGGAGCTGAACGAGGACCGTCTGTCGAATTCCAGCCTGGGATCTTGCCGGCCTTGGATCCGGTTCGCGTACTCAGGATCGAGCTGTCGCCTGCCCTCCCACAGCTGGTCCATCTCTAACTGGTTGAGATCGGGCGGCGGCGCGCCGGGTCTGCCGGCCCAGTACGTCCGGTCATCGACAGACCGCGCAGGTGTCGAGTACATTCGCATCACATACTCTGACCGCGGCGGCCCTGGTTCAGAATTCATGTCGTTCTGGAACAGCTCGTTCCGGATCTCCCCGAACCCAAGCTTCATCTTCCTGTCCATCTCCCTGCTGAGGACGGCAATGTCCCTCTCACGCTGCGCAGCTTCCATAGCCTGCCTCTCTCGCGCCTTCTCGCGCTCGAGGAGACTGCTCATGGTCCGCTGGACGTGCTCCATGTCGACTGACTGCGGCTGGATAGGGCGCGGTTTTGGCCGGGACGGGGTTCTGCCCTCATAGCGAGGTATCGGCTGAGGCTGTGACGGCACCGGGATTCCATAGTACGGACTTTCACGGTCTGTGTACGACCTGGGCGAAGGGTCGAACGGGTTAGCCCGGTGATGGCCGGATGACGGCGGCCTCGGGGGTGCGCTGTTCGGATACTGGCCTGGGGGGTAGTTGTACCCGGCCGCTGACGGGTATGAATAATACGGCGGCGATGGGTCGACGGGATTCGGGCTAAAGGGGTTCCCGCCCATGCTTCTGGAGAACTGAGGTAGATTCTGGGTCTGGACATGCGGCGGCATCGGGCGTGCTCTCGATCCTGGGACCGGAAATGGTGCGGATGCGGGAGCGAAAGGGTTCGGGGGGCGCTCGGTGCTCCTGTGCCGGTGATGGGACCGGCTGCTCGGACGCCTCCGGGGGAACCCTTCGGGGAATTGCGACGGCGACGACGATAAGTCAAATTGCACACTCTTCGGTCCGTGATGCGTGCGCGTCGCCACTCCCGGCTCCGAGTCGCTGTCGTACAAATCAGACTCGTCGGACGTCATCTTATCGGCTGTTTTGTTGCGGCGCTGTTGCGTTGGGTATCAAGGGTACCGGATGGCCGATCACGGCTCAGGCACAAGCCGAATCTGAAGAGCGCGGGGCTAATTCAGCGGGAAATAATTCCAATGGGGTTTTCGATGATTATTGAAAGAACCGCTATCGACGCCGACGGGCTGAGGCTAGAAAACCAAATGTCATGATGTCGAGACCGCACGTTGTGGGGTGCGTAAAGGTAAAAAAAGGTCGTGAACGCCCGACGGTCCCAAGTGAGGAGTGATGGGCGTGTTCTATGAGCTGGCAATGGTCACACACATCCCGCTTCCCCTCCAATTGGTAAAGTGCGGAGGCATGAGCCGTTCATGCAGCTCCGTTCAATCAACGGCCGCCCGCCCTGCCCTCAATCGTGTTCAAGCAGGCTGTAAGGCAACCGGACCTTTCTGCAATCAGCAGCCTGGTGATGTCTTCTTGCTTCAGGGAGAGAGCGTACTTTTGCTGCGACCTGCGGCCTGGATATGCGACCTGCGCGCTCCACCCAAACCGAACCCAACATCGCGAGCCGTTTGGCCTGCTTTGCGAGGCGGTGCGTTAGTGCAGCTGATTGCATGAGTCGCTGCAGTCGAGAGACCTGGTGCGTCCTTATTGGGTTGCACAAGTGAGGCTGTCGGGCCAATGAAGTCGGGGGACGGCATGCATGCCTGTTGATGACCTTGGTAGCTCCATGCGGAGGGGATACGCCATACAGAGACCCAGTTGCGGGCATGGCACGATCATTTTGCATGTAAAGTGGACTCTCATCGGGCGTTTGTCGAAGATTGGGTTTGTGGTTTCTTGAGGCTCTGTGGGAGTTGGCTCTGCAATGGGACTTAGAAGTACTGCTCAGTTGCCCGTCATACCCCTGGAAGCATTCTCCAGGTCTTTTTTTGGTTTTTCAACATCAAGACTAACTGAGATAATTTCAATCGGGGTTCATTGAGAAGAGTTGTTTTGTAGATGAGAGAAACAGCCCGTGTCATGTTACTGCCTGGTCGCCAACAGAGTTATGCAGGAATGATCAGAGAAAACACCAGGAACAATGAATTATTCTCAAATGTGAAGACCTGTATGTACTATCTATGCCCTCGTAATTCCACGCCCGTATAGACGCAAAAAGGGGTATCCATCATTATCACCTAGACCTTCGATGTGTGAGAGGAGTATTATTGTAGCGCCTGCTGGTTCTGATAGTCTGGTTGCTCCACGGAATTTATCGCCAGTGTCCCCTGAATAGTATCACTGAATATCATTACCGTATAGAATGTTGCTAATACAGTGGCGAAAGGCGTGGTATTTGAACACATAGATACGGTGGACGAGAGGCGTGCATTGAACAGTTCTAAGACCTCAAAGTTAACAAGAGTCTCGGTCAACCCATTGAAGTGTTCTTCGACTTAAAGAGACGTATTAGCTCCTAGACGGCGTTGTCAAACCGGGAGTCTAGGCATTGCCGTGTGTCGGGAGCCCCTTGCAAACTCCATGCAATCTCAAGCATCATCATTCCCTCAAGTCCAACGATCATCCTGCACCATCAGACTTTCAGGCGGCCCCAATCCGTTCGCTCTAACGCCCCCAAGATCAACAACAACCTTTTGTATCACAACCCCAGGCTCAAGTAGCCAAACTCCCAATTCATGTCTTCCAGCCTTCAGACTTCCTCCGGTTACATTTGTCGTCACATTCCACCCTCCGGTAATGACAGAATCAGCCCATCCCTCTGGATCCTCTCCGAGTCCCGCGTCACCAACCGGTTGTACAACTATAGCCTCCTTGTCGTCGACAGCAAAAGCATACCTCAGCGGCCGCGTCATATCGTGGTTTCTCGAGCCGCCAAGATACATCCTCACCTTCACGTCTTCATACTCGGCAAACGTGAAGAAGTCATATCGCAGCTTCGGCGCTGTGGATTGAGTCAATGACTCGACACCTACTGGCCAGAGTTTGACTCCCGAGTGTGTCTTGCCGTAGAATGAGAGTTCAACGTACGAAACCCCGTTCTTCGTTTCGATGGCAGAGTAATGCGCTGCTTCGATGGATACCACGCCGTCAGACTCAATCCAGCGTCCGGTCAGGTCCTCCTCGACAACGGGAGGATTGAAAATGGGAAGTAAAACTGTGACCGCATCCTCTGTGTCATTCCTCTCAACGGTTAGTGAAGCGGTGCTACGCCCTTTGGGGGCAGAAGACCAATCCACCTCGATGTTCACCCGCGCCTCATCCATATCTCCAGGGGCCTCAAGTGTCCCCTCATCCTTGTCCACCCCGGCCCACGACACGTTCGACTCAACCCGCCACTCAAATGTCCCATTCGCACGGCGAAATACGTCAATCCACCGACTCTGCCCGGGCGGCAAGTACGGATCCATCTCTAACAAGACTATCTCCCTCTCATCCACATTACCCACCGCACCCTGCCCAGCAACTCCCATAATCCCGGACGCTGGAACATCCGCATCACTAACATACTCCAGGTTCGTCATGACGTCGCTGCTCGGTTCATACCACAATGTATATCCGATATGCACCTGACACATGATCCCCTTCCACTTACCCCCATTGATCCCGTTGTACTCTGCCGAGATTTCTTTATCCCGGGCAAAGGCCGCCCTCGCCTCCGTAGCAAGGCGATTCGTTGCCGTCCGCCGTTGCGCTTTATACAGCTTCCCCATCTCGGCCTTGATGTACAACTCGTTGACCGTCTTTCCTGCCTCGACGGGATGTAAAATCATTTGGTAGAAAGCGTCCCTCCAGGTTTCTTCGAGATCCCCGTAAACCCTCGAGGTGTCTTCTAACAAAGTCTCCCACACCTCAAGAGCCGTGATAGCCTCGTCATAGAAGAGCGTACTGTACACGAACGGCGGCATGTTGAGCGTCTCGTACTTTCGTCGGTTGACCAGCCGGCCGTATCGGTTCAAGATGTCCGCAACGGCGGACGCGATGTCTGGGGAGAACGTCTTTGATATCCACGTTTCGAGCCAGGTTGTCGTGCTCGTTGGCGTGAGGTGCAGAGACATGTCGTAGGCCATGTCGAGGAAATGGGTCATGGGTATCTCCTGATACGAAAGTTCAGCATATGTTATCATGTGTGTGCTTTAGGGGGAAATGATGGAAACCAAGCAATCTAAGAAGGAGAAGCAGAGAGGATTCCAGCTAACCAGAGGTTTGATGTCTCCCACATTCACAATCCAAACCTCCCTAGCCCCTTTCTCATATGCGAGGTGCATCTGCTCCCATGTTTTGACCAGCTGGATGGTATTGATCCACTCATAAATCTTGGGGCGGCCAACATAGTTTACGTGGTAATATACGCCAGCACCTCCCGTGCGCGATGTCTCGTTGGGGTACGGCGTGCGCAGGAGATTACCATAGTTATCGTCAGTCCAGAGCAGCGTCACGTCGTCAGGGACCTGGAGACCCTGCTGGTAGTATTTACCGACTTCCTGTTTCTCGTGCTAAGCGAAACCGCTCTCGTATCCATGAAATTTCATCGTGATACTCACCTTGTATAAAGCCCAAACTTTGGGCAAATCACTCGAACGACTCCCGTGAGTAGCGTTCAGAATCTCCTGCTGCACCGCAATAATCTCCTCCAGCTGTGGCGCAGTAAGCGTAGGCGACTCGGTGTCCCCCTCTCCCCTCATCCCCATCGTGTAAACCGTTTCCCAGTCCTTGCTCCTCTCCGCACCTGCCCTCATGAAAGCCGTCAGATTCTCCTTGTTCAGGCTCCAATCCCACCTCCCATCGAGGTCCCGTTCCTGCTCGCGGTACGCCCTCGCCATGGGTTCGTGATGGCTTGTCCCCATCACCACGCCAAAGTCGTCTGCGAGCGCCCCGTTTGCAACGTCGTCGACATATAACATGCTGTTTTTCATTGCGGGCCAGAGGTAGTTTCCCTTGAGTCTGAGGATGAGCTCGAAGACGTGAGCATAGAAAGAAGAGGTAAAGGGACGGTTGCGGTCGGATGAGGCGAGAGGGAAGCGGGTACGGGCCCAGGAGGTGAGGCAGGTTTCTTCGTCGTTGATAAAGATGCCTCTGTATTTCACGGAGGGGGGCCCTTGTGTATGAATTGTACCGGCGGGAGATAGATGAAGGGATGGCAAGGGTGTGACGGGAACGTCGGCCCAAAAGTACCATGGAGAGACGCCTATCTGTTCGGAGAGGGCGTAGATGCCGTAGACAGTGCCACGCTTGTCGCTGCCAACTACCGATAAGGCTGAAGAAGTACCCGGAAAGGGGTTCATAGTCACTTCGTGAGTGTAAGATTCCCATTCCCCCTGAATGGAGGAGTTTTGGAGCTTGAGGAGAGGGGAGTAGCCTAATGTTCCGATGACCAGGACGGGAAAAGTTGTGGATGTGTTGAAGGTGTCATAGACGATGGTGCTGTTCTTTCCGAGGACACGGCCGAAGTCGATGGAGAGTGACGCTGCAGCACGTTTGACGGCTGCGGTCTCGTTGGAGGAGAGAAGGATCACCGGGGGGTGTAAGGTAGTGGCCAAGAGGATGGAGTTGGGAACGGGTTTGAGATTGATGATTTGGGCGGCGCTCGAGACCAGAAGAAGCAAAAGCGTTTGAACACAGACAAGGAGCTTCATTGTTGCAACGTTGAAGCGGTATGTGCGAGAGATGTGTAGCCTGGGCTGAAGTATTGCGTTCCTGGCATCGTCTTGGGGGCCACCAAAATTAATGTAATTAATATCTATAGACCACGAACAATCCTACACACTATTCCGCGCAGTGATCAACTTCTCAATGTACAGTTTGTCATCGCTAAAGGCTGCTGTTGTCCCAAAACGATATTGTCCTTCCCCGCACTTCGTCCTCTTTTACGACGAGACGGCGATGACGGACCAGCGGACGTTGCGTTGCCAAGTGACCACTCTAATTATTGAGTCACACCTTTAATCTTTAAGGCTATAATGCATCGAGCGTCGTCAGTTTTGAAACTCTTACAAATGCCGCAGGTAAAGAACCTCGTAGAGGATAATTGACAGGACGCCGTGTCGAAGGTATGAGCAGCTCTGGGTTCAAATGAGACGCAGCCGAATCCATGACAGATCGAGTTCGTGATAGAACCTTCCAATATTCTTATTCACGCTCTCTTTTCCCTCGAACATGAGAGCGCCCACGCGTGTTGCCGTCGCGCCGCTCACCCACTCAACTACGATCAAATATGCTTGCGGCGCGAACCCTGGCCGAGGACGATACGTCCCAACAAGAAGACACCCCCAAACGCCACTTTTGAGACGCTCGAGAAACTCTACAGGCGTTTTCGTAGGCGTCTTCATACCCCTCGAAAGGCGTTGGTTTCCGATTGTAATTTCAGACCAATGACTTGGAGTCCGACCATTGCAGAACAGTGAGGGAGGAACGGACTGCGCTTCAAATCGAAGTGCGATAGGCGACTCCATTACATCACTTAGCCCATGATCCAAGTCCGTTCTCAACAAGGTAGATGATCCCGACACAAACTCGAGCTCGACCGCGCGCAGTATCGGATTCAATGCTTTCAGCGAGCTGAGAAATGGATAGCACATCCAGCGAATGGCGCCTGCCCAGCCTGCCCAGGTCCACGATGGGAACTCTCGCCTTCGACGTATAACTGTGCCGCTCTTGTGGTACCAACTTATAGCAATGAATATTTGTGTGTCGATCAGCACGTCTTGTGCTGGGAGTGAAACGTAGGGCAAGCCCGAGATGACAAGAACCGATGGCCTTCTCTTGGCCAAGACCTTCAACATCCCGGCAGCAGCATTCAGCGAGTCAGAGTCGTAGGTCAGGCTCCGCGTCGTGTATTGCTGAATCAGCCGGAAGAAGTCGACGAGACGGGGTGCAATCCTAGAGTCTCCGGCGGGGTTCTCCAAGAGCTCGTTTCCTCCGTGCCTTGTTGTCTCTGTTGGGGCCTGGGTTTCCGGCTGGCCCATGAAGTGACTCAAGAGGAAAGTCCCGTTCTTCCACTTTGTCCAATTGAGCGATTGCCGATCTTTGACTAACTCGATCCCTCCCAAGCTCTCTGTCCAGCTCGCGGTGTTGCATTCGAAGAATGCCTGTGTTTCGGTGAAGATGATTCTCCGTCGGGAGAGTAATCCTTCTTGGAACGTCCATCCTCGCTTCCACCAACGGGATTCCTTCTCGACGTACACAGCCGGGTGAGGCCCCATGTTGATAATTGCGGCACCGGCTACATGAACGATGTCTTGTTTGAACCGTTTGGTGGAACCCACGCCTGGTAGGCCATACCTTTCATCTGGGCCGGCAGCAGCCACAATGGTGGCCTCAGCGTTGCTGTAAATTAGGTCCATTTTGTTGATCTGGTCGCTCAGCTCTGCCGCGTTGCCCTGATCTATGCAATACTTATCAACCCATAGATATTGGTACCCAAGAAGCCTTGTGAGAGCCATGGCATCCTTGACTGAAGCCGACAGTTCTGATGGCAATCGACGATTGACTTGGACAGAAGAGCTCGAGGGTTGGGAAGTCCATACATAGCTCAATGCTATCCATTGCATACCATGCTGTGCAGGTTCGATTTGGAGTGTATTGCAGTTGATGAGTTTCATCCCTGGAATAGCAGCTGAAGCCACAGGCTTATTGCACGACAGTCCATGATCCTCTTTACAATTGTCGATCCACAGACGGGCCTTGCCATGGTCGAAAAGCGCTGGGATTTCCTGCGGCTTCAAAGGACTGGGCTGGCCGTCTGTAAGAACCACGTAAGACTTTCCATTATAGCCGTAGTCGTCGAAAAAGGTTTCATAAAAAAAGACTGTGTTCTTTGAAGTGACTACAACTATCAGGCTGTCTTGTGCGCCCGGAATAGTGTGCCTGACACCGATGCCGTTCTGCAGGTACGAGAACGCACGAAGCTCGAAACCTTGCGCCTCGGACTCGGATATGGAACACGAAAGAGCGGCGTTTGAGAGAAGATTGCAGAGGTCACAAGTTGCCTCGTCCCCGGAGACGAACCTCCCGGCGTCGTCATCGAGAATGATTCCCTGGGGGTCCATCTTTCCCTGCTCCAGCGCCCACAACGCATTCACAAAGTCGATCCGGAGACATCTCTCGCAGATCTGTTGATTAGTTGATGAAATATTGTTCATGACCAACAATCCTTCAGAGCCGACAAGAGGCTTGCAGAGCTGTGACCCGGCGAACGCTCGGAGAAGACATGGTGAAGCCTAGGATGATATTGTTTGGGAGAGCATGCAAGAGACTAAATGGCTGAGTAGATAGGCTGCTGTTGTATGCCACACTTTAAGACAGTCAAAATAAGAAGATGATTCGTAAAGGAAACGCATTGCTGCCTAACTGTGGGGGTGTTTCAATCGGCTCCCTCCAGGACGGCCAAATGGTAAGACTATTTGGTTGTCCTCGCCATTTTCCTCCTGAACTGTGGGGTCTTGGACCTAACGAAACGGCAAGTCTTTTATGTCTTTCCGCTCTCTATACTAGTTGGAATTTACTCCTTGTCGCTGGCCCCCTTTAGATACGGCGACCACCGCAATTCAACAACCCATGACCGTCTTTTATTGCTTACTCAAAGAGGTGAGTCCGAGACGTAAAGCATTTAAAAATGACTGAGACGTTGCCTCGAATGTTCTGCGTTTTATAAATCGTAATTTGGAAATATTTACTTCAAACGTGAAAGACCGGTTGTTCCTGGGATAACAAGGAGTACAACTTACGTTCATTCCTTCGTCTTGGGGGTTAAGTCTCTTACACATGAGATAAAAGAAGTCCTTCCACTGTAGGCAGAGTTATAACGACGAAGAATCCCTACTTTTTTGTTCGCTAGGATATTGCAAGTAAGTCCCCCTCGCTATCAATATGCCAATGGCGGCCCACTTTAGCCGAGGATGACCTTCCTAAGTAGCCGGAGATGTGGGGCCGCTGCAACCCCGAGCCTCGGTGTCGACCAATGTCCGTATCTCACATCCCAAAACACATCATTGTCACCCAAGACCACATCTATCCCTTTCATAATATCAGTGGTGCAGATGACGCGGCACAAAGATTCGATCGCTATGTCTCAGCTGTCTCCGTTGGAGGAAATGCTCAAGCTGGCGGAGACTGAACCGGTGAGTCCTCGTCTAATTCATCGTTCGCATTGACCGCCCTTCGGACGCCGCTTAACGTCAATTATCTTAGGACGTCTTCACTACCACTGCAGATCACTGGCGTCCGCCAGGGGGAAGGGGGATATACGGTGGGTAAGACCAGCGACGACAACATTTCTCACCAACCCCACTCACTGACCAATGGCTGACGCATCACTAAGGTCCATCGTCGCACAAAGTCTAGTCGCGGCCCAGAAGACCGTACGCGATGGGTTTCTATGCCATTCGATGCATTGCCAGTTCTTGATTGTGGGGAACGAGGCAATTCCAGCCACCTTCGCCGTTCAGAGGACCCGAGATGGAGGCTCCTTCGTCACCCGAACGGTCCAAGGCACCCAAGAAGGGAAGTGCATCTTCACGAGCACCTTGTCTTTCATGCGGGCGATCCCTTCTGAGAAGCAGCGTGTTCAACATGTTCCCACCCTGCCATCATCGAGGGGATCGCCGCCTGACGAGTCCATAACCAGCACTGCGACGGCCGTAGCACCGCAGCTGTTTCCCATCTCGATAGAAAAGAGCAACGGTCAGCCGGAGAACGCAAAGCTTCAGACGTGGATCCGCGCGCCGAGGGAAATTGCCCAGGGAGGTGACGTCGAGGTCCAGCAGGCAATCTTGGCCTATCTGTCAGATTGGGTCTCGATTTCGATCACGCCCTATGTGCTTGGGTTATTCGACTTTCCTGGAGGTTTCTCGAAAGGTGTCGAAACGTCATCTTTGGAAGGGAGTTCTGTTGGGATGCTCTCCTCTCTTGGTCATACCATCTACTTCCATGCGCCCGCCCGCATCAGAGCTGATGAATGGATTTTGCTTGTTGGCCATAGCCCTTGGTCGGGAGACGAGAGATGTTTAGCTTCCGCAAGGATGTTCGCGAAAGATGGTACCTTACTAGCGACCTATGTTCAAGAGGTGTGTACCCAGAAATATATCTGGAAAACCAACTAATGTTTGGCAGGGAGTTATCAGATTAAACGGCGAGCTCGATGGCCCGGCTGTGAAGCTATAAGCATTTTTCAATTATATCAACGGATATTAAGAGCTTCCTTTTGATGGTAGTCTCTATCTGTCGCAGTACTGAATGTTGCTGCTTGCACTTTTCCTCGTTTCCATGGAGCATACCACTTGCGATTCCCCATGCTAGTTCGTCTATCCCGGCCAAAGGAACCAGAAAGACCACGTGAATGGTACTCGACTGATTGAGTTTTGGATACTTCTGTCCAAGATGGGCCGTTTCTTGCTCAACGATTGCGATCACTTTATTAACTAAGTAAGTTGCCCTCCATGAACTTGAGAACAACAAAGTGGACAGTAAGTTAATGCCAAAGTCTTTGCAAACCCCACAGAGCCATTTGCGCTCCTACTCAATTTCAAGACATGCCCACAGCACCTCCAGCAGCTGCACCTGAAATCAGTCCTCCACCCGAAATCACCAGAGCCGGGTTTGCGGTGACTATACCCAAGCCTATGACTCCAGCGCCGAGCACAGATGGTACCAGGGCCATCAGCAAGTTCTTCCGACTCTTTGCCTTTTCGATCTCTTGCGCCAGCTCCTGTTGCCGACGCAGACTGTCCTGCTTATCCTGCTTATCCTGCTCATACTGATCCTTCAGGCTCTTCTCATACTCGGCAAGTTCTTTGGCCCTTTTGACGTCCCTCTCACTCATCTTCTTACGGTCCGCGGCAAACTCCTTCCTCAGCTCCTGGTAAGAGACCTCGGATTGTGCCAGGTCTTCGTTCAGTTTCTTAAGCTCCTTATCGCGTTTGGCTGCAAGCTCATCGGCCTCAGCCACTTGATCTCGGAGTTCCTTGTGCTTCTTCTTTTCAAACTCCTCGGTCTTCTCTCGCAACAGCTGTTCCAAGTCGACTCTAAGCGCTTTCTGGGCTTCCTCAGCCTTCCGCAATTTGCTTTCCATCTCTTGTTTCTGATTTTGGAGCTTCTCAGCTAGCTCGTAGTCCCTCGTCCGTAAAGCATCCCGGTGCTCTTTCTTCAGGTCTTGAACATCCTGCAACATTTTCTTCCTCGCTTCCAGCAACTCCCTCCCAACCTCTTGACCCGCGGACGTGTCTTCCAGATCCCTATTCTCCTCCACCAACTCCCGTTGTATCTGCAGCGTAGGCAGGCCGTAGATCTGTCGGCATTGAAGAAGGTGCTCCACGACAGCGGAAGCGGACGAACTGTCATTCTTCCACCGCATCACCTTACTTCCACCAGATCTCATCAGACCCCAGAACCCTTCGTCTGCCTTGAGCTCGGTCTCCCGGCGGACTTTAGCCGCATCGTTCTCTTCGTCACCCCACATGCTCGTCGTAAGTACGACATGCTTGTACGCGTCGTCGCCGCAGAGCTTCTTGAACATGTTGATGCTCCTTCCCGAAGAGCCGCTGACGCGGTTGTCGGTTATCCTGTGCATGTAGATTACCCCCGTAAGTCGCGTGCCTTGTTTGTAGCTCCCGCTCATGTAGGCGGCAATGTTTTTGAGGACATCGGTGTCGGAGGTAACTGTGTCGTCGAACCCCGGCGTGTCGATGAGATGTATGTTGCCATAAACTGGATGATGATAATCGTAAACTCCAGTAGCAGCCGTTACTTTCAAGTGGGGTTAGCATACAAACATGCAGATTCACGCCAAGTTTCCGTTAATTTCTACTCACGAGATCTCAGACCATGACCGATTGGAACTTGTTGCTCTACAAGCTGCGAGATGAATGTGCTCTTGCCACTTCCGGTAACTCCCATCACCGCAATGACGATATCCGAGGACCTGTGCCTTGAATTAGTGTAATCTCCATAGAAAGGCGATCAAATGCACCAACTCCGAACCCATGTTCCCAGGTGTGTGGTCTGTTTATATTATACTGGCAATTGAGAAGCAGGGGAAAGCAATGAAGAAGAAAAGGTGACAGAAACGAGAAACGTAGCTGGACGACCGAATATATATCGAAGTAAGGCCATTGTGAGGAGAACTGGTCCTTCCGGGAATTATAGAACATGGTTGACTTCAGAGCCTTACAGTCAATCAACTGAAAACAGTTTCCAAAGCCGCCATACCTGCTCGCTACGAAGCCGTGGGCTTGAGCCTGATGCGCGACTGTTCACTTGACTAACATGTCACGGTCAAAGCTGATCTGCCTGGAGTTGCGGCTGAAAGTTCACTTGAAACAAGGCTTTTCAGCTACGTTAAATGCCACACATCCCATTGGTTGATTTCGTTTCTTTGGATGGGATAGCAACCTTGTGTCAGAGTGGCGGTCCATGGCTCTTTGTGTGGCTTGCAACGGGGGATCTATCTCACTAACGCAAACGGCGGGCTTGTTCCGGATCGAGAAACCTCATCTGGTGGCCGGTAAGCCCTAGGGATCCAGAAACTTGCCACAGAAGTGGCATGAAACTGTTAATAATAAGCATTGCACCCAAAGCGCATACTGGACATGGTTAGACAAATGTTCGATTAAGGTCCTCGGGCGTAACGGCGTTCACGCAAGTCTCAGCCTATCACATCGCCTCACATTACCGACCGATCTCGGCACTGGTCACCAATATTATATTGAGGAAACGATTCAGACTTCAGCGCCGTCCAGACTTCGAAACCGTCGACTAACGGCGTTTTCAGCCTACTGCTAGCAGTTTTCATCTAATATGCGGTAGACGGACGCCTCAGTTCGTTCAGCCGCAAGTTCGCGCCTGCCTCGAATCCTGACTTTGAGCGCCCACCGGCGAGGTGTATATGCGATGGCTTCGTCCTCATAAGCACCTTGGTTACCCTGAGCATATGGGTAGATTTGCTCTCAACCAACCGAGGTCTGCGAAAGCTTATCCAGTTACAATATCCGTATCATTCGCATTAACGCATGTTTATATATGTGCTTGCGGTCTTCATCTTCATTTTCTTCCTCAGAGTTTCCACCGTCATTCAGAAAAAGAAGCCGGTCAAGATGGATTTTATCAGGCCTGCCCTCCCACCCATTCATGTCGACACGTCTCTGTTCCGAGGGGGTCAGAAAGCACGCGACAGCGATATCTTCATCGTTGTCATGGGCCTGACAGGTTCCGGGAAGAGCACGTTTGTCTCACACCTCACGAAGGCTTCGGTTCAGATTGGGAGCAAACTCCAATCCTGTGACAATAGCTATCTACATGTTTTTTAAACTGATTGTGGATAGGCACCAGGGAGGTCACGGTCTAACGGTATCAATACAGCAACTCTACCAATGTGTATCTGGTGGATACCCCTGGCTTTGATGATACCAATCTTTCTGACTCGGATGTTCTAAAAGAGATCGCCACATGGCTTACCGGTTCCTACAACAACGAAGTCAAGCTTACAGGAATACTGTACCTTCATCGCATCACGGACCCTCGCATGGGAGGGTCGGCGAGAAAGAACCTCTTCATGTTCAAGAAGCTCTGTGGCCCCGAAGCACTAAAGCATGTCGTCTTGGTCACGACAATGTGGGAGCTTGTGGATGAGAAGACGGGTCTTGAACGACAGACTGAACTTGAGACCACTGAAGATTTCTGGGGCTATATGCTGTCTAAGGGATCCAGAATTGAGAAGCACATGAACAATCCACAGTCAGCTCATCACATCATCTCTAGATTCATGTCACATTACCGCCCAACCACGCCAGTTTTGCTCGCTATTCAGGACGAAATGGTCAACAAAAACAAAAACCTCGATGAAACGGAAGCAGGCAAGGGACTAGAGGGCGTTCTTGCCAAAGAAAGAGAGAGGTTCAAACGAGACCTTGATCTAGCTCGCCAGGAGATGCAGGAGGCCATTGCCGCTCGTGATAAGGAGTCTCAGGAGGAGCTCATGAGACAACAAGCCCTGGCTGAAAGGAACTTGGAGCGTCTCCGGCGTCAGCAGGAAGAAATCAAAACAACGATGGAGAAGTTGCACAGAGAGAAGTATGAAAAGCTCGAGGCCGACTGGAAGAAAATGGAAGCGAAGAACAACAAGAAGGAGGCTCAGTGGGTTCAGGAGAAAGAGGAGTTGAATGGGAAAATTACATCCCTCTCAACTCGCATGAAGAAGTCCAAGACCCACGGGCAATGCGAGGTTGAAGCTGCCCAGATTCCAGCATGGGATAGAACCACCAGTCTCTCTATACGTGGCCAAGACTGGGCTTTCATAGGTCCATACCTATCGAAGTGGTAAGTCATCTTCAGACCAAGAACTTACAGGTGCTCAATTTCATCTAGGTCAGCAGCAGAGGAGATTTCCAAAGATATCACATCGATCTCTAAAGGCGACGGGTTCAGGATCAAGAAGCTGGTCTTAGGTGACGGGACCGACTCCTACTTCACCCATTATCACACTGGATATATTCTCACCAGATGCAACTGTTAGTTGACGCACAAACCTCTGAAGCCCTTTCTGACCATTATCTAGATCGTGGTAGAGTTCAACAAGGCTACCCAGGGCTTTATGAGTTTCTCAACTCCAAGAGGGGAACTGAGTGCCCAAAGTTTCTTTCGCTTGGTCCAGAGGGATCCTACTTCATTGCTACGAGGAAGAAGTCTTCATTCAAGTGTCACCGTAATGCGGAAATTGATTTCCAGGCAGGTTTTGCCAGTAGAATATGGTGGGGGTTCGAGGGTTCATACGTCATGGAGATGCAAGACACAACAATGGTTGTGAATCTCCGAGGCCATTATGCTACTCTGGGAGAGACACTTCTGCAGAAGACCAACGTGAAAATCAAAGTATGTCGTCCGATTTCTTTGGAAAGTCTCCATTGGTGCTGACAAAAACACAGGAGCTTGCTATGGATATCCATGGCGGCAAGGCGTTCGCTCTCATCATGGAAGATAAGACGGTTAAGTTTGAGACCAGTGGAGAGGACTCCAACTGGGATGTTGCTTTCAAGGAGTATGTGACGGTCAATTTTGGTTTGCGATGGGCCTAATTAGTTGACTTTTGTCGAACTTTATGTCCCTCAGTGAGGGCGTCTGTTGACGTCGTTCCTTGTGTTCCTCAACACCCATCACTGGTCATGGTTTACTTATGTCTTGAATCTAATACCGAGTATACATTAAATACTGCATCTGTCCCAGGCTTTACGATGCTTTTGGTTACCATATTGTCAACCCATTGGAAATATTACAATATTCTTGAATTATCCCTGTCTTAGATATTGAATACGCCTCGGAAATGCCGTTTTCTTTGTTCCGCTGGTTGCCAGTTTATTTACATCAGGTTGGTACAGACAGAACTATTGTGGATGCATAAACTGACCTGGTTCAGGTCTAAGTCCCCCACAGAGGCCAAATTGAGGCGACTCGAGACACAAGTCAAAGGCGTCTATCAGCCCCCCTCTACTTGCAGATTTCCGTTGCTCTAGTAGTGCCGTTGACGGGAAACAGCAATAGGCTGTCATACTTTCCACCCACGTGGATGAAGTGCATGCCCTTGTTACGACTCACTGGCGTCTCGACCCTCTGCTCATTAATAAAGGCCGGGTTGGAATCCATGTCACCTCCCAACTCGATCAACGAAACGTTCTGGCCGGGCTCGAATGTGCCTCCCGTCGCAGGCACCGGCACGATTGCCGTGCCAAAGCCGATATCAGCCTGGGCGGGAGTGATTGAGGCTGCGGCGATGTTTAAGCTGAGCAGCTCCCCCGCGTGGAATCTGAGAGCGGAGGGCCAAAGAGGGATATCCACGGGCACGATCTCGCCTGGTGACAGAAGCTTCTCCGAAGTGTGTACCAAGAAGGGCTCGAGGTCCGTGGAGAGGTCGGTGTCTAGCTCACGCTGTGATACGCGGAGGAGTCCGGTAGGTCCGATCGTGCTGGAACTCTCGCTGTCGGTGCTGGGAAATGCAGTGCCGCTGGAGGAGAGCTTCTGTACGGAGACGGAAATTTCCATGTCGGTGGCGTCAGGGGAGGACAGCCACAGGCGGAGCTTTGAATAACCGATCAACTCCATCATCTCAGGGACCTGGAAGTCGAGCGTAATGCCGGATGCAGAGCTGCTATTGTAGCTGAGGATAGTTTCGTTGGATAGAGGGGAGGAGGAAAGTGAGTTGTTGGGTTGTAGGTAGAGAGTCTTCGACTCGAGACCCGGGACTGGCCAGTCTGCGACGACGCGATCGAGAGTGTCCTCAGCACCGGGATCCAGAACAGCGAGGCGGATGCGCGGAGTAGACTGCCATCCATTATCTTCGCCTATGAGGTAGTGGTCCAAGAACTTTTGAAGGTCGGCTACATGTTCCGAGCTATAATAGTCCTTCCATTCTTGCGTATTATGCACTCTGAGCCACTTCTCCTCTGACGAAATGCGTCGGAATCCTTCGAATGAACCATGGGCGTGAAGAAGATTGGTATAGCTGGCCACGATGTACGCTGGGATCTTGATCTTCTCGAGCATTGCAACCTTGTCTTGCCAGTAGGGGGTGATGAGCCCCTCAGAAAGAAGCATGCGAGGGACGTCTTCCACAAACTCTTTGCCAGCAAAAGTGGTAAGAATTGACTCCTGGAAACCGGGTGCCGGAATTCCGCCTCTGACGGCAGTGTCGCGGTACAAGTCCGTGAGCCCCTCCCATGGAGCAATCGCCGTCAAGTGAGGCGGTTTTTCGGCAGCGATGAACCATTGCGACACCGCTAGCCACGAGTTGCCCGAGAATGCGACCTTGCCCGAGCTCCACGCTTGCTCTGCAGCCCACTCGACGAAGTCATACCCATCCTCACCCAGCTGGCGACCCCAGTATGTGATGTTGCCCTCGGACGAGTAGGCGCCGCGGCTATCTGGGTTGAGAATCGCGTAGCCCTTGCAGACCCAGTAAGCTGGGTCGGGGCCCTCGAACTTCTGCAACTCGGAGACGGACGACAAGTTCACGCCGGATCGACCCTGGACATCGTCGAGCCACTGGCCGCCAATTTCTTTGCCATAGGGGCTCCACGCGATGATGCTGGGCACGGTAGCATTCGTGGTTGCAGGACGGAAGATGTCGGTGTACACCGTGATACCATCGCGGAGGGTGACGGGGACGTCGCGCTCGAAGAGGATGTCGCAGGGCAGAGTGAGTGCGCCATCGCGACGGATGGTGCCGGCTTTGAGGGTCAGATTCTCCTGCTTGAAGCCAGGGTAGCGCGAGCGGGCTGCATCCAGAGGGAGAGGTCGTCGCTGGGTGATGGGGTAGGAGTCGTTGCCGTAGATTCGGAGGGCTCCTTGGACAATTTCGGCGCCGGTGGTGGTGTTTTGAGAGAGGGAGGATGCTGGAGACAATGTGACTAGGAGTGAGATGGCTGCGAGCCATGAGGAAAATGAAGAATGATCGTTTGAAAGCCTCATGGTGGGCAAGACAATGCGCGGATGATCCCAAGAACGAAAGAGTGGAAGCTGTGGTAACGGTGTGTTGAAGGAGGAGCGTGAGGTTGGATATGGCCTCGGTTTATAAATTGTCTTCTGAAAGGCTTAACGAGATCCTGTACCGAACCCATCCACGTCCAAAACTTCGCCACAGTGACCGTACGAGAGGCCCAATGGGACGTCCGCGGCAAGACTCAAGCCTCCGGCGCATCGTCAATTCAAATTAGTCGCGTCCATTGCCTCAAATTTCGGTCCACCGTGTGATCCTGGGAGCCTCGGTGTACCCGCCAGTCAGCGGGGTGCTTCCGATGAAGAAGCTATGATATTGTAGGAATTCAAGATGTTGCCCAGGCCCAGCTTGATTCCTGAAGACGTTCGAAGCCGAAGCCGGTGGGACGGACGACCTCCGGTCGTTCAAACTAAGACGAGGAACGTCAGTTGGGTCCACCTCGAGATGCATTGCACATGTGTGATTGGTTGTGTCGTACGGTCCCTGTCGACATTTAGCTTGTTGCTAGTCAGGGACGACCCTTGCAAAGCACGTATTTGGACTCGGTCCGTTGGTCAACCAGTCATTGGCTGTTCAAGTTCTTCGAGAAGCCATTCAAGAGATCGAATGTATTTTCCTCCAAGCAAAATGGCAAGTGTCAATCCCCCTTGAAATGTGACCCTCCCGAAAGCTCCTCTTCAACCAATGCCCGCACGCCGTTCGGGCCAGCAGCACGAGAATACGTCAGTTTCGCCCTCCCCTTTCCGCTCAAAAACTTGACCAACACGCCGGCAACCCGAGCTGCCTCGGGAACGTCACGGGACTCGGTAATCTCACCTAACCCATCTTCCTCAACATCCACGATGCGCTCCAGGACCCGCGCGGCAAGCATCCCTTCCAGTTGGCCATCTCGACGACGGGCACTGCGTAGGATGTGTATTGCGGCTCTTCTTGTGCTCGGATGTCGACATCGCAGAGCAAGTCTACATAGGGGCATGATGAAGCCGCCACCTAGGACAAAAGACGTGTGCTGCCAACGGGATGCTGAGGCGCCATATGTGAGCATCTCGATGAACTCTGGGAGGAAGTAATCCCAACCAGACTGAGGGCAGGTGTCTTCCGGGCCATGAAGTGTTAAATAGAGGTCCAATCGCCGGATATGAAGGAGTGCATGCGAATTCTCGTCGGTTGTGGAGATGGAGCTGGCATTGAAGGCTTCTAGCCAATCCCGATACATGCTCTGACAGGAAGTCCGAGTCGGCATACTTTGGACCTCCCGTGGCTTCTCTTGTTGCTCTGCCACGAATAGGCAGAGGTTTTCCAAAATTTCGAGTTGTCTGTTTGCTTCTCTGAGGCTGCCGAATATCGGCGGACATGGCCTTATATGTCTGAAAACAGGCGGCTTGGGTCGTACGTGGTGCTCGGTTTGAAGAAGCTTCGTAGTTGTCAGAGACTTTCCTGCCGAGACGAGGATTCTTGGATTGCAAACCTCTCTCATGTAAGAGTCTAGCCGTACAAACACAGACACAAATGGTGCAAGATTTTCTAAATTTGCAAGGGATGAGATGGAGGCTTCAAGCTGCGTCAAGATGCTGATCCCAGAGGAGATCAATTTCATAGCATTACGAGCGTTGCCGCAAAGTGTCTACAAGGAAATCAGCACAACTCAATTGCACAAACTGAGCAAACCATTGTATTAAACTGCTTACCTCAATACATGCGAAGACCACAGCAGACGCAAGTGAGATGGCATTTGCCGACTCCTTTCCGACAACAGGGACGAACAGCTGCTGCAGTGCTGTCTGGTAGTGCCGTAGCGCGTTGGCCGTCCGTTCGGTTGGCGGGGCCTGGCGAGGCACCGGCCATAAGATCGGCCAGTTGTGCATGTCCTCGAGCAGAAGCCCCAGAGCAACGGTCGCGTGAAAGATGGCGTCGTCGGCGTTGGCAAGTTGCAGAACGAGCCGTCCCCAAAACTCGCACTCAAAGCCGCTCGAAAGTGCCGGGGCGCCGATGATCTGGAAGAATCGATACGCTCTACCTTCTCGTTCGTTGAGAGCTAGGGGGTTGAGCGGGCTGGGATTTCGCCGAATTGGCATTTCGTTGTGCTTTGGGACCACAGCGTCCTGCGTGTCGCTGGGAGAGGAACGGTGGCAGTCGAATCCAGCATTGAGACCTGTAATACTTAGGCTGGCACACTTTGTAGTTGGGAGACGGCTTTGGCCCGCTTACAATTTGCACAAGGCAGCTTCTCGTCGCATTTGATCCTTCGTTCTTTTTGGAGACAGAGGTTAGATACTCAGTACCCCGAAATCACGGGAGATGCTCATTGACTGACTTCTGTAAGCTTGTGAGAACTCGGTGTGACGGAAGGGTCAGGGTCATGAACGAACTTGCACACAGCACACCCATTTCGGGATTTAGGGGCCCAGGCTCTTTTGCGTTGGCCGCGCTTGACTTTCGTCATCGCAGTGTCTTTGCTGTGAGGACACGCAGTCCTGCTGCAATAGCTTCATGGATGAAATCCTCAAGTGTCAGCTAATAATCGCGTCTCGGCCAAGTTGCAAAACCTGAGTCTGCCGCGCGTGTCGCCGTATGCGTGTATCAGGTTGTCTGGAAGTGTGTGCAGAGGTACGTGTGTATATGGATGGCAGCATGTAAATCATCCATTGTCAGTGGGGGGTCCTTCAGCGTGGCCCCCATTCTAAGGTATGATTACACTGTAGGTAGCACTGTCCCACCTTCGCAAGCCTACGGTATTAATGCCGACGCTTAGCCACGTAGCCATGAGCCACACAGTACAACCCCCTCCTCTGAACGGAACACGCAGGTTAAGATAAAGTATTTTAGAAGTAACGGCACGCTTACTTGGTCTTCAAAGCCCCAGAATTGTCTTACTATTAGTTCAAGTGGAAAATCCCTGGATTAAAGAGTGGCAGAATTGAATCCGCTGTGCTCCGAGTCCACACATGGATCAAGCCACAGCAGCTTTATTTCACAGGGCGAAGAGAGTCGCCGTTTCTTGTTACTAACAACATCCGAACATCATTGAACTACTACCCCAGCACGGAGGACGACTGGCCTGGAGAGGAGTCAAGCATTGATGTGTGCCTCATGGAGCTCTACGTATCTGACGGCAAGGAAACGATGAAGTATGGCTTGGTGCTCGAAGAGGTTACTCTAGGAGTTTTCAAACGCAAGGCGGCCTTTTCCATCGATTATCGGCGTCTTCAGTTGCTCAGAGCCAAAGAGCAATGAGGATGATTCACAGGGGCTAGAGGTTCACGGAAGTCTAGGGTCTCAGCAGCTCGAGATATAACTAGTCTGACGCCGTCTACAGCGGTTAGGTGTAATCGCGAATGTCTTTCCTTTACATCAGACTTACACTACTTCTACCTCTTCTAGTTTTCTTAACAGTAGCGATCAGACCATAACTTGCCGTGAACCAACTGCTTCCAGCTCACAGTGATTGTGACAAACGCCAACTGTTTGGGTTTTCGGTGTCATCATGAACCAGGAACAACACCGGCAAACAGGTTTGCTCGAAGTTAGGGTCGCGACTATACCCAAAGAGATCACCTGTGGCCTGCTTAGGCAGCCTGGCATGTCGCTTCAGCCTACCTGTAGATGGCCAATTCACTCAACAGCCAGAGTGACATCTAAGGCATTGTGGCATGATGCAACAGACCGGAGAGGCGATGTTGTCGACTCCTCGTTCATCCAATTTCCTCGGAGAATCCAGCAGATTATGCGAGAGGTCGGGATGGAATACAATAGCTACCACACACAGATGGAGTTTCTTGGCATGCTGAATTGAACATGGGAAAGTCAAAAAGACTTGGTCCGACATCGTGCTGGAAGCGGATGTTCTGGAGACGATAAGGCAACTGATCCCTCAACCAAAGACACATAACCGAATCGGCCGGCTATGGAGTTCTTGAGCAGGGAAGCATCGGCGGCGCCCCCGAGTGCGGACCGCCAGGAACTAGCGAGACAGAATCGGTTCGTCCGATCGCAGCCCTGACCAGTTTGGTGGTGTTTCGCATTAAGCATCCCGCTCATGTCAAGCCACCTCTGCCGCCCTGACGGAGGTTATCGACCCCCTTCTGAAAAGTAAAAGTCTGATACACATTTGCACTCGACAATTAATATGATCGACCAGTTGACCAGCTGACTAGCCGCGTTAACTTAAGGGCTCTGAAAAGATTGCCAAGCTCGGCGTCACCGCAGCGTTGTCGGTAGTCCAAAAATAAGCAGACATGAGTCGCCAACCCCAGATAATCAATTTAGAGTTGCACATTCATATTCCTACTCATGCGCTCTTGACTCTCTATGAAATAAACCCCTGCAATAGGAGATAATTGTCCATGAACTAGAATGACGTCTCTACTGATTAAATAGATTAACTCAATTCTCTTTCGGGTTCGCTTTTGACGTTTTTTTTTACTTAAGACTAGATCTGCCGGTGCCGCGATGGCGCATGTTTGTTTTCGTGACAACCACTCACGCTCTTTCTAGCTCCCATCGCTCATTTCACCAGTTGTTAGCAGTGTCTCCCGTGACACCATGGCTAACGCTATTCACTCTTTTGGTTCGGGGAGCGTCCGCTCATTGTTCTTGTGGTTTCTGCTTCACATACTCCTAATCAATGCTTCGCCCACACCCCGCGACACGGTCGTCGTCACCAAGCGAGCAAGAACCCAGTTCCCCACGTTTGCTCAGGACTACGATGGCCGTGTGCAGAAGGGACAGTACTTCAATGATCTGTTCCCCCTCGACGATGCGAAGGCGGCCGAGTACAATGGCGGGGCTTCTGTAGCAAGTCCGTACCAGGACCCGAGCGTGCTGAAAGCGAACGGCTGGACTAGATACATCTTTTGGTATCCCTTTGAACAGGACACCGGCGATGTCGAGGCACCGTTCGGCGAGGTGAAGGACCCAGCTTTCGCTAATATGGGCCTTTCGATTGACAAGACGCCCGGCTACGATAACAACCTCGACAATGCATTTGGGGACAAGGATCATCCGGTAGATGAGACGGAAGCGGGCGAGTACTACTACAGACACGACAGAGAGTTCGGTCAAGGCAAGAAGGTGAGGGACGCTTACATGCTTATCTGAGAATTGCTGCTGACCCCGTTTGCTTAGCCCACGATGGCTTCCTATTCCAACGTGCTTGTTCCGGCCTCTGGCGCCTTCATTTTCGATGAAGACTACAGCCCCAGTTTTAGGAAGAGCGATTGGGGACTGGGTGACGTCCCCGACTTGGACACAATGTCGGATGTTGCCTTCTTCCAGTGGATCGACGCCTGCAAGGCGAAGAACATTCAACCAAACACCCTCAAACTCATCTTCGTATCCCACTGCACCAACCAGAAAACGTACGACATCGTTGTAGAGGCTCTGAAGGCAACCAAGTACAACAAGGTACCCAGCTACGCCGACAAAGCAGTGTTTGGCATGGATACTCCAGAGGGCCAAGCCATCCTTGGAACCGTATGGGGTAGTGCGACGTCTTGGATGCTTATCCAGCACAAGAAGGATCTTGGCTTGAAGAAGATTAAAGAAGTCGCCATCTGGGGCCTTGGAAATGGCTTCGCTTTCGAAGAAGACCCAGAGGGCGAGGTGGCCAACTTGAACATGAGGTTTGTCGTCGAGGACGCTTAAGTAGGAATACCAAAGCATGAACACATCCTGTACTTTGTCCGATTGCTAGCATTTTGATTTTGTGACCATGGGCTGTTGCCTAACCCTTGCTGGTCAAGGCTCTGCTGACCCAGGTTTTGCTGCTGGTGCTGCTGGTGCTGTTGATAATGTTGCTATTGGTGTTGCTAATGTTGGTGTTGGTGCTACTGACCAAGCCTCTGCTGCTGACCGAGCCCTTTATGCTGCCCAGGCCTTACTGTTGACCCAGATCTTATTGTCGTCCCAGACCTTGTTGTTGACTGAGACCATATTGCCCGAGGCCTTGCTGATGGCCCATGCCCTGCTGCTGGCCAAGTTCTTGTTGTTGACCGAACGAAGACGGAGTCCTGACGGGATCCCGAGTTCTCCAGTGGTTATGGTCGCATGGGATGGTCCGGCAGACTGTTGTTCGATCATATCGCAAGACGACAGGATGCCAAGACTTTGTACGGTGATAACGACCCAGTCAGCACAAGGTCCGGGCCAGAAGAGCAGGAACGTCCCTCGCCGCTTATCTCGGTGCTGCTGAAGCATCGAATTGCCGTTGAGCTGCCTGTTATTGTCCTGTACCGTGAAAGCACTGTCTATATCAGCCCTTAGTATCACAGTCGCGTCAGGACTCGCTATCCGTAGCAGTTGTGGACAATTCGTGCTTGCTTATTATGTGCATGACTCAAACAGAGCCTCTACCAATCCTTTCGTACATCGGGGCCTGTCCCTCCTCTCGACGAAGCGATGCCCTCCATATCCGCCGGGCGGACCGTCTGACCGGACCTCACCAAAGATGCTCCCCCCCTCGATCGAACGCGAGCCTCAGGCCCGCGGCGCAAAGATAATTCCAACATGATGCCGAACGCCTGAAAACCGTAATGTCTTTTGATGCCGTACGCTGATCTCCTTCCTATATGATATCACTACAACGCGATCGCTCCTCGTCGATTCTCCCGGATGTGGAGCATGCCCTGGATGCCGCAGAAGATGAAGAAGCCCTGCGTGAAGTCCCAGAGTCAGTAAATGACCGACGATGCATCTTGTTTAATGCAGTGGATGCCGGGACGCGACGTACAATGTAGACAAGGACAGCAGCGAAGAGGGTGCCAGCGACGGCGCCGCCGTTCTCAGGGTCATCCCTCCCTCCGACGAGTTCGGGATGGTTCTTGGCGAACAGAATGCTCAGGATACCGAGGATGACGATACCGAAGACGGAAATGACGGTGCTGCAGTGGTCCAACAGTTAGCCGTCGCGATCCTATCTGGCTGTCCGAAGGGACACACGTACCATTGCCATGCGGCGCCAGCACCAACGACGGGCTTCATGATTGCAGTGTGTTACTGGGAAATGTCCTCCTCGGATCGGGCTCGATGGGCACGGTGCGGATTTGTCGATAACCTTGATATGCCGGGCGTGATGCGTTATGTTGTCGATGATGAGGCCGATGCGGTCGACGGTGCTGTTGCTCCTGGCTCGCGAGGCTCCACCTTGGCCGCGGTGACGTCCAATGATCTTGCCTGATTTCCCAGGCGTCTCGGACCAGCATCAGCCACACATTGAGCTCCAGCCACAGGGCTGGTTTCCTCCGCTAGATGGATCCACTCTTCCCGTATCAATCATCGTGAACCCGCCCGGACCTCTGCCCTGCATTTCAATCCGAAATCCATACTGCTTTGCATGTTGCAGGGCTCGGCGCCGAATAGATCTTCATCGCGGGATTCGATCAAACCAGCAGGTTCACAAAAGTCTTGTCACTGCTGATCTCTCTATTCTGGCGCGATTCTGCTCATCAAATACTTCCGGCAAGTGGTCTCAGTCGATGCGGAGCTTCCCAGGCCTTCGACTGCGTCGGTTCTGTCCGCGAGCCCGCCGTGCTGCCCGGGTCCGCGGGTCGGCCGAAGGTTGCGAGGCTCTCTAACAATGGCGCCATCTCAGGCGAAGCCCGGGCACGTCTGATGGCTGCATCACAGAAGAGACCCTCCGGCTCACGCATCTCCCATTGACCAATGGTTTCGACTACGTCGGCACCAAGGCCTGAAACGCTCCTCTTCACGGAGCCGAAGTCAATACGAGCCGGAGTAGCGGATCGCTGCCAGTCTTTGGAGGCTCATGTCCACGGATCAGAAGTCTACGGTGGACAACCACACGACATGTCCCGCGCACCAAACTCGGGCCCGCAGAGCTATCCGAGCTGGAACGGCCGTCCCCCACATGACGCCAGCGAACGGTGCCGATCTGGGTGCTGGCGCGTCTTGTCAGCGGCCCCAACGGCTGCGCGAATGACATGTTCGAAAGACGGTTCGTCGAAAGGAAAGAAGATCGAATGCCAAGGCACGACCGTCCAGTGCTGGCAGGCTCGACAGCATTGACAGCAGCGCTTCGTAGGGCGAGCGCGTTGCTCTTCTGGGATAGGCCTGCCAGACGGCAGCGTCGTCCAAGTGTTCGTCGCTCGGGCATATCGAAACTGCGACCTGACCCAAAAGGGTCGCTGACATGTCTAACGGTGCACAAAAACAGACTTGGAGCGTCAGTCATACGTTTTTCTCTTGAAACAACTGGCACTCTGCAAAGTCCTCTGCCCACGGAGCTTGCATCTCGAACTCTGCACACGAGCTGCCCAAACGGGAAAGTGACCATTGCGACCCCAGAACGAGCCGCACAACTCGTTCGTTGCGACGGTAGGACGACGTTCTGACGGCGGTGATGGCATACTGTCCCCGAGCACTCACCAGATGACGGCCATCACTCGCGCATGATGAAAGATGCCATGCTCACGTTCAGACTTGGGACGAAGGATTCGCCCCGAGGAGATTGGGCATTTCGAGAACACATCTAGTCGAGATTTGACCTCTCCTATTCGCGCAACCGAGAGGTTCAACAGGAGTTGGTTGGAACTTGTGTATGTTTGCCAGAGTGTTTGCCAGCAGGGGAGGATGCTCTGAAACTGAAACATTGCCAGGAGTTGCCCATCTGCAACCACTCTGCCGATCCTCCGTTGGTTGGCACCATTCACTTTTTCTGACCGCAGCTGCCTATGAAGAAAGCCATGTTGGGGGCGAAAGTGTAACTGCATGTTACAAGTGACGACAGAAGCCCAGGCGTCAGGGGTGGGAGCCCTATCAACCGAGGAGAACAGTTGGAGGCGATCTGGAAAAGGTGTACAGCTGGTCAGCGCTAGCAACGCTGCCAATCGGTTCGGAATGGCAGTCTTTGGTTGCCGACCAACCAGCCAACGGGGCGCGGCAGGGGCCACTGGCTGGATGAGCCATCGACAATTAGGATGCGACATGCGATATTGGGAAACATTGGCAAGGTGCCACACGTGCCTGCGAATCCGGAGAAACAAAACGAGGGCAGTGCCGTCTTTGTGGGTGACACTGGCACAACGTCAGCTAAAAATGGCTGGATATTAAAGGCGTGTTTGTTGATGGGGTTCAGCCATGATGAATGTTTTGGGTTTGCTGTAGGCGAACTGATGAACAGGTCATGAGAGTCCATGACGACAAGGACGGGACATGACATGACAGCAGTTCCACGCCGCCTACCGACGAACCTCAATCTCGTGTGTGTCCTGGTACTCCTTGCCGTCTTAGATGAGATGTCAGCAAACTTGGGAACAACGGCACCCAGCATGAAGAATAGACCCGACGACAGTCCGGATATCACCGGCGAGAGTTCCGTTGACCGACTCAAGCGCAGACGCCGACTACAAGGGAACGCCCTGAAACAGTGAAAAAGAAAAAGAAGCCTTTCTCTGGCGAGGAGATCGGAAAAGCGGCGAACGTCTGTGTCCCAGCGTCAACCATGGACCAGATTTACCGCAACCCATCGTCCGTACCACCGTTTCTTCGCTGCTGCCGTGGGTGGCCGGGTTCATGGGTCCCGAGTGCCCCTGTAAGCTGCAAGGAGCCAGATGAATACGGGACCTTGCAGAAAGACGTTGTCATTCAAAACGCGCCATAGGGGGAATTGGTGGGCTGGGAGGAAGATGACAAGACGAATCCGAGCGAGCGAGGCGATGTGCTCGGATGCGTTGGGCCGTTGGTCCTCTTCCGTCGGTTTGTTCACCATGTTCTCATCAGGACACTCGTGGATGTTCTTGGGGGCGCTTTTGCTCGTGGCCCTGGGGTCTGGGGGCGGTTGGCCCGGCCGTGAACCAGCTGGCACTAGGGTAACCCGGCAGGCCAGGCGCACGCAGAGGGGCGCTGTCAACTCTACCCAAGGTAAAGTAAGTCAGGGGGGGTCACCTCAGGGCGCCAGCGGACGGCGGCCCCTAAGGTGGCCTAAGGTAGGGCAGCGAGGGTAGCGTGGCCCCGGGATCCCACGGCGGCTCCACTCGTACTCTAATCTCGACTCCCATTCCACGGGTTCCTCGTTGGGCGTCCAACTCACAATCACCACCAACCAACCAGCGCCCTCTATCCATCACACGCCAATGCGGCCACGGCGCCTAAGCGACCAAGCCGACGTTCCTGCCATTGCCTTTTCTTCCGAAGCTGACGTCGACGAACGGGACCTGCAAATCGAAGAAACCTCTGGCAAAGAAGAGAGAGGCTGGAGAATCACTCCGCATGCAGTCATCATCTGAAGAGGTTGGCAGTCACCACGACAGCCGGTCTGGGCTGTTTGTTTGGTCTACCTTCTTTTTTGACACACAGCAGCGCTGCATGCCGCGGCATCCTGGCGTCTTTCCTGTGTTCCCTCTTGGGCGATTGACTCGCCAGCCTTGTTCTCTTTGGCGGCTATCTCCATGTTCTGGGGCTCTGTTGCTCTGTGGCTCTGGGGGCGCGCATCGCATCTCGTCTGCAATGCCTGCTGCTGCGTGCTGACTCTAAACCCTCCGAGACCTCCCCCATGCTGGCATGTTTCTGTGATGCCCACTAGATTATTTCGATTGGCAGGGACAGGGACAGGTTTCTGCGTAGCGCGGTGCTAAGCCAGGTACGAGAAACAAAGTCAGACACTACCAGCCGTCTATTTGTTTTTGTCA